TTTTTTTTTTTTTTTTCCCCTCCTGGACTTGCTTTTGGGCCAAAGAACCACCTCAACTTTCTGCTGACCTCTGCTCCATCTCCTTTGCACCATACCCGGAGCATTAGTGAGACGTCAGGCGACTCCTCAGTTCTGGGTGAGATGAAGCAGGAGATGGGATGAGCCCTGACGGCAGCGCCGTGTTTCTCAGAAACCCGCGATCCGGCTGCTTCGGCGCAGCAGCGGGGCCGAGCGGGATGGGAGCGGGGCGCTTCCCGGGGCTGCACGAGGCGGTGGGCTCGCCCTGGAGACACGGGTGCCCAAACACAAGAACGCACAGGAATCAAAGTTACTGGTTGCTATGGTGATGGGAGACAAATGATGCTTTTTGCAGATTCGTTGATGGCGCCGTGTCGGATAATCAGGTGCCGCGAGGCTGCAGGGATTCTTCATCAGGGTCTGCCTCCGGCTCTCCGTGGTTACAACTGAGTCAAAGATACTCAGAGACAGAAAATAACACCTGTAGCTAAGTCTGAGCTGTATGCCCGCGCCCAGGGAGGAGCGTGTGAGCGCAGTGCAGCACCTCCGCGGCTGCTCCGACGGGCGTGGATGCGGTTGGTGGTTCCCTGCTGGGTTTACTGGGGCTCAGGGCTGTCCCTGAGCTGTGCTAATGGTTGGACTGGGTGACCTTCAAGGTCTTTTCCAACCGAGATGATTGTGGCTGTGCCGGTTGGGCTGGCTGCAGGTGGCTGTCATCCTCTCGTGCAATTCCTCCCGTTTCTTCTGTTGCCCTCGGGTGCCAGGGCAGGGCTGTGCCTGAACCAGGCCCAGGTAGGGCATCGCTCCCGTTCCTCGCGTTCCCCGCAGGTAACAGCGGCAGCCATTGACGCCGCATTCCCATTATGCTTTTTTATTGAAGAATCGTAGAACAGCAGGCACCGCCGAAGCATCCGTATCGTGCAGTAGAAACAGAATGCAGAGAAACATGACTGGTGGCATCATCCTGGAGCTCTGGTTCAGAGAAAAGGTCTGGATAAGAAAAATCTTAGAAGTAACTTAACTGGCTTTGGTACACCACTTTTCTGGGGCAGACAATGCTAGGGAAGGATCATTTATCATAGGTACATTCTTGTAATATTCAGAGAAACAATTTTTCATCTCCGTGTTATCTATTTCTGCTCCTTTTATGTTCTTATTGCTTACGATGAGTTCCTGTTCGAGGAAAAAAAAAAAAAAGTATATTTCAGAGTGGAGTCCTGCACACATTTTTTCTCTGATATATTCAATATTTTATGATTCCTTTCTTCTTAAGCATTTCTAAATATCAGTACCTTGTAGGCTAAGAAATTGGATTTGCTCTTATTGAACATAAATATATGCACATTATAAAAGGAGATGGAATCATATAGGTGTGGGGAAAGCTTAAAGGTTGCGCTATTACATCTCTAAAGGAAAACAGGAGTCTGCTGGAAATAAAAGCTGCACCCTTCGACCTTTATGTCATCACAGTTTTGAAACAGAATCCAGGATTAGAAGCCAGGGGTAAATTTTTGTTCATTTTGTCATTTAGCCTGGCGTTATACGCATTTTCCTGGCGGCGGCAGGTTAAACATTTCCCCCTCTGAGCAAAGCAGCGGTGGCTAAAGGCCAGGCCCAGGGTCCTGGTCTGTTTGTCAGGTGGGGAGGGGGGGCCCTTCCGGGGCACAGGCCAGTGGTTTTCTCTGCCCAGCCTCCCCCTGCGCTCGCGTGGGGTTTATCTGTGCAGGCTGCAAGTGTCCGGGTCTCTGGCTGAGTGTTTGAACCCCCGTAGCACAGGAGGTTCCTCGCCTCAGGTTGGACGTGATGGACATCCTGGGGTTCGCTGGGGCTTTGAAGCACATCCCCAGTACCTGTCCCGCTGTGCTGGGAAGGGGGAGAAGACTAAAAGCATCCTACTGTATCCTTGGCCTTTGCGTACGTGGTCATGGCAGGATTATAGCCCACCACCAAGTTAAAAATGTGTAGGAGTTAAGGAAAATAGGTTCAGCCACAGAAAACTTTGCAGTCAGTGATGGAAATGATTGAGGTTTCCTCTGGAGCGTATAGTTGATGACCAAACCCTCAGACATTAGAATATCAAGAAATAAAGACTGTTGCTCTCTATATCTATACATATGCTGTGATAGCGATTTTTATGAAGATTTTCAGGCTGCTTGTGCCAGGATGTGTCTCCCTGTCCATGGCATGGCAGCACAGGGATGCCCGAGCTCCAGGTGACTGACTGCCAGACAGCAAGAATGTCACCAGGGAAATGTAACCTGTGCAGAGCTTTGGCCTCCACAGGCGGATTGTTTCCGGTACCCAAATTCTCTTGTTGGAGGAGCAGAGTGAGTATCCTGCCCCACGCTGCAGAAGGAGGCCCAGCAGCGGGATAACATGGTCACTTCTCCACGGAGCAAAGGAGGACAGCTAGGGTGGCGGACAGTCACCCGCGTTGCCCCAAGCAGGCTGATTATAGCTGAGCTCTCACTGCCTCTTCTGGGATGATGTCTCACAGCACTTCTTATTTACGTTAGTGGAAATAAAATACTGGAAGTTAGTTTTATAGAGCATCAGATTCACTAATGCAAACACTGTCCATTCACTCAAATAAAAATTCTGGAGTTTATTCAATCAAGAAGATCCACGGAGCTGCTTTCTGCCCTTGGGTCAGGACAGCTGTGCAGAGCTTTGGGAACCACCTCTCCGCAGCACAGGGTGTGGGAGGTGAGCAGGGACCCGACCTGGGAGCGGAGGGTGCGAAGGGCTCCCTCGCCAGTGGGGAGTTGGATGTGGAGCAGAGTCCTGGGCCCTGGCCACACTCTCTGAGCTCCCCAGACTGAATAAAGTCTGACCCAAGACACAGTGGGTGGGAGCAGAAAACCCAGAGGCCACCTTGGAGTTTCTTCCAGGAGAAGGCACCTTCCCAGGCAAGCCCAAGGAGCAAGGCTGGACAGCGAGTAAATATTTCACACGTTATAGCCGCTGTCCAAAGACGACGCTACAGCGTTAAGCAGCTTTTTAGCCTCTGGGCAGGTGGGACAACAGGCAGTGAGAGCTGCTGCTGCCCACCTCACACTGCTGGAAATAGCCTCGTGCAGGTCCTCGAGCAGACTCACATTTCCCAGCTGCCCTGGGCAGATGTGGGCTGAGGCCACGCACCCTACAAACCTGTCTTCTTGTGCACCTACCGGGTCCTTAACCAAAATAATGCAAAATACAACGGAAAGGCAGTAAAGGAAAAGGGAACTCTACTTGCTCGGTTGTAGCTTTTTTGAGCAATGCTGTTTAACACAAAATCGTGTTCAAGGACCAGTCCATCGAAAGGAAAAAGTGAGTATTAGGTTTCCAGTATGAGAAAGAGGATAACATCCTCTGATGGACAGCCCAGTGCTGTACGCTCATAACATTCTGTTAGGAAGTGTACTGTGCTCGTGTATGAGCTGGAAAAAAAAAATAAATTCCATTTCTAGCCATTGTCAAGATAGGGAGAGAGAAAAAATCCTTTCCTGGAACAAATGAACAAAAGAAAACAAAATTCAAGGTCACAGCTAAATATAACATAAAAAAAAAAAAAAAAGCAAGCCCAATAGGCATCAAGTAGCTGTTCAGATACAGTCGTCTAATGAAACCAGTTGTCCCTGACCTATTCTAGTAACATTCTGAAAATGCAAACGTGCACGCACTTGCAAAAACCCCGCCCAGACCAGAGTGCCCTGGGGCAACACAACCACAAAACCGAGGCTAAAGTCCCAAGTCAAGACTACTGCCCTATACAGCAGCAACACCTAAAGCAAAGGCCCCACGTCGCCCGCTAAGGTGCGGAGCGTTCACAGGCAGCTCCACCTCAAGGCCAAGCTCAGGATCCTTCCAGCTCAAGCCCCGTAGCTGCTCTCAAAGGTGCCAAGCGGCGGCGTGCGCCCGTCCTCCGGAGCGCCGGCGTGGGGCTGGGGGCCGGTGGTCAGCTCACTCACCTGCTGGCGGCGGCAAAGGGACAGGAGGCACAAAATGTCACCACCAAGTACCACGAGGAGTCCCTGCACCCCAGTTCTGGTGCTGTCCCTGCAGGTGCTGCAGCCCCGCGCAGGCAGGCAGCTCGGGCAGCAGTGGGGTGATGCTCCCGGGCCACCAGCAGCTTTCTGCCCAGCTTACTGCAAACTTCAGACGATGTTGATGTTTCTAGAGGATTTTCTACTCTGCTCATTCTAAACTTGTAAATAGAACAACGGCAGGGCAAACCGCTCGTTTGAGGGTGTTGTGATCGAAAGAAGGAACCTGGAGATGAGGGAGCAAGTTACTCCAACTTTGTCTAAACAAATGCATGTCCTGTTAACACTAAAAAGTCTGTTGGGAGGGGAACATCCTACCCCAGGAGGCACCACAGGATGGATGATCGTCTGAGAAGAAAATCGGCAGTAACCGAGGAAAAGATAAAGGCAGCGGCAGGGGGAGGCTGCAACCCCCAACTCAATTTAAGACCAAGAAGACGTGCACCATGCCCCCCGCTTTGAGTTTGTACAGAAGAATTAAAAGTCACTGTAACTTTCAATCAAGACGAGGCATGTTGACCGGTGAAGGACAAAGCGATAAGGAACCAACCACCGGTCATTGCGGTAAATGTGTATTTGTGTAACCTGAGGCGTGTAAACACACTGAAGTTCCTTTGTGTTGCCACCTTGCACCTGTCTCTGTGTAGACATGGAATAAATAAATAGCTCTAGAGGCCTGTTGCACACCGGGTAAACGACGCCACTTGAGGAACAACGACGTGGGAGAGGGAAGGGCCGGCAGTATCAGGGATTTCCATTGTAGAAAAGGCAAAAAACCTCCTTGAGCAAGCGATGTCTGAGCAGGGATGAACGGAGCCATGCAAATCCTCAGCACATTTCCTTGGCGAGAGCAGCACCTCTGTGATGGAGGGACTGCCAGAGCAGGGTCGGTGAGGCAACAGCTTCCAGGGGGTCCTAGGCCACGCTCAAGATCTTCAGTCTTAGCACACGAATGTGCTGGGTGGGAGAGGGACAAAATGATGCAGCAAGGTGAGACCTACCTGTTGCAGCAGGCACTGTCTGTAGCCATTTCCTGATCTTTCCCCTCTCCCTTACACTTGAATTCAGCAAATTGTTCAGAGAACTCAGCAACAGATAAAAAAAAAAAACAAAAAACCAACAACACACCTTTGGATCGCTCCTTCAAAGAAAACTCGTCCAAGTTTTGGACTGAGAAAAATGTCAGCCTTTCTCACCAGTCTGCTGAAAGCGGTGGACCCAGGCAAGCCAGGCAATTCCTCTTGCCCCTCACGAAGCAGAGGACATCGTTTGAAAAGGAGGCGACGGCTTTCATTCCACCTTTAACCCTTTGGCATATGGCATTTCGAGGAAAAAAAAGAAAAAAAAAAAGAAAATCACTAATGGAAATTCCTAGGCTGGTGGCTGAAATAAAATGAGATGCGCAATATCAAGAACATCGGGAATTTTATTAATGCTGAGTATAGAAAAATAATAAGGGGGAGAAAGTGCCCGTTAGCAACTGGGCACTTTAGATAAATGTCACATAGGGAGCACGTGCATTAATTTGCTGCGCAGATTGTTCTGACATGTCACGTTCTGGACAAAACGTAAGAGCTGCGCCTTCGGTGGCATTTCAGAGCTCGAGACGCACAGACTGAGCCCGGGAATCCTTGTAGAGCGTTTTGTCTCTTGTGAGATTTTTGACTTGAAACTGCATTTGTTTATCTTTAAGCACTACACTGTGCAGGTTCCCGTAATTTGCATTCCAAACTTGGCGGAGGGAGAAGAATAAAAATACATAAGGCCAATTTT